GTTAAATAATTTGTACAATTACACTCCAACATTTGCTTTCAAGACGCACACATTTGCATGGGATGATAGTGTTGTTTTCTCTTTCAAGGTAACATAAAATGGTCCAAGAAGGAATACACAAGTTTTGGATTTGATACCACAGGAGATCCTTTCTTAACTAGGTGATACACAATTGTGCTCTTCTTTGTGTAGTAAAGGCAATGGATCAATTTGAGAAAAGTGCCAACATAAGAGAGGCAAGAAGAGTCTTGCCTCTCTTATGTTGGCATGAAAACCAGAAGAGTGTGGTAGACTGTCTGTTCACCGTCACTCTGTGGTAATCCTCCATAGCCAGTAACCACAAATACTGTCAGAGGGCAGAAAGAACAGCAGATGCTTTCAAAAGAAACTTCAGATTCCAGCGTGTGCTGATGTCTCCTTCAGCTAGAAACCAAAACACTGTGTCACAGCACGATCATCCCTGTACATGAATGAACTCAGTGTAGCTGATTAACAGGAACCAGTATGGCCACTTGTTTTATGCTTTATACGAAACAAGGGAACAATGCAGTCTTAAGTCTGTCAGTTGTGGTCGTGCATATGTGGTGACTGAGTGTTTGCACGTCACTCTCCAGGGCTGGCAGTTTCTAGCCTTGTGTGTGGGATTGTTTCTGCCACAGCACCTTTTCCTCTGGCTGCTCCAGATCCACCTCAAAAGACATGCAGATGCCAGGTGAGAAAACACAGGGGCCCTGAAAACTGTCACAACGAAACAAAGCACAAAATACAGCCAGTGTACTGTGTATGTACCGTCTGGATATATATGCTCTTTGCACTCGAGCACTTCTTTACCTCCTTCCCAGGAATACTGTATAATAAATCAGCTTGAATACAGTTATAATACTTTGGGATTGAAAGACCGAGTTATTTCATAAGCACATATTTATTCTCTTTCTCTTTTATTTTACTGATGGCTGTTTTCATTTCCTTTGCTTTGAGATCTGAGTTGCTTTCAGGGAATTTTGGCTATAAAAATGTTCATGTATCTGTAACTAAAGAGTGGCTACATTTTGTCCTCAGGACAGAGGTGGGTAAGTATACCGTCTACTGCCAGCGCTCCATGGAGCGGACACAGCAGAAGGGCGAGAGACAGGCCAGGCCTTCCCGTATGGAGATTCTTTCGATTCTTCTGAGGAATCCCTATCATCACTCCCTGCCCTTCAGTGTGCCTGTGCACTTCCTCAACAATACATACCAGGTATAACAGTCACTCACTACACAGAAAAAACAACGATCAACGGCTGCCTGCCTCCAGTCCTAACAGCTTAATGATGTATGTGGCAGTTTGAGCAACGCTATTTTTCAACTGACAGTAAAACAATAGCATATACACCATTTTAAATCACGTGCTGTGAGTCATGTGACCCAGTTAAACGGATTTAAAGTTGTGTAGGATTATGTTATATGTTTGAAAGCCATTCGACCTTTGCCTTGGCTCTTTAATAAACCGTAACAGAGTCACTTCTCTAATGTTTTCTTGCACTAGATGATAGCCCAACCCCACTGACAGATACTCTGCTGAAGGGTGTTTTATACAAGGATCCACTGCTTTTCTACCTTTAACTTCATAAAATCATGCTACTGAGTATCACTTTTCCAGAACTATGTTTTTTATGGTTGGTTAGTGTCCAATGTGAGACTCTCCCTGTTCACTTTTCCTTTTTTGGCTTTTCTATAAAGAGCTATGTACACATTGAGGCATTTAGGTCGTATTCTACACAGACCTGTGTACATCTAAATCCTCAAATATCCAGTTTATTGTGGTTACAAGAAGTGCAGAATTGTTCCAAATGTCAAGTTGTTTGTGATGCAATAAACAGGAACCAGTGCCCTAAATGTTAAACCGGAGCCAAACATGAACTGTGGCTCTGTTTGTGGTTGTTGCATTTTTTTCCTAGTTTAAACGATGGTTGAGTGAAACTAACTCATCCACGCTTGATTCTTGCTAACTAACTCTCCCAATGTGCACTCGATATCTCACAGGCTATGATATGAGAAAAATGCCAATTATTATGCCTTTTTGTCATCAAAGTCACACAGAGATGTTTATCTGTTCACTTTGTTCCTCTGTGCACCAT